CAACGGGCCTTGGGGCAGAGTTGTCCCCATCAGCCACCCCCCTGCCCAGCCCCTGCCCCTGCCGCCGTGGCCTCTAAAGTCTCCTGCTGCTTTTCTGCTTCCCCCTCGTACCGGGACGAAGGTGATGCTGCATGGGCCAAACAAATCTGAACGCAGCCCTGTGAGAAAGAGGCGGTAGCAAAGCTCAGATCACAGAGAAACAGTGAGGCTTTAAAGGGGAAAAATCCCGGGGTCTCTGCCGTGGTTGGGGCGTTCTCCAAGCGCGGTCCTAGGGTTTGTGGTGTGGAATTTTGTCCATTGTTTTTGATTTGAGGGGTTATTTTTGCCCATTGCTTTTGATTTGGTGATAAATAGTATGGCACTTTCCTTCACTAGGAGTTGATTAGCTTTTTGGTTTAAAATAAATGAGAGTTTTCCCTTCCTATGTTCTGTACCTTGAGCCGTAACTGGAGAGCCTTGGCTGCTTTTTTAGATCTGTTCATAATAATCTCTGCTTTTATAGATCTGTCAGCTTTCAGCAATACGCTGTGATTTTTGCCTTCTAGATTTTTCACAGAGCTTTATTGTACAAGATTTATAACGTTTACACTTCTGACTGTGGAAGAGAAGAAGTTCTGTGGAAATGTCGAAGATCGAGAAAATGAGCATCCTCGGCGTGAGGAGTTTTGGAGTAGAGGATAAAGACAAACAAATCATCTCTTTCTTTAATCCATTAACGATTTTGGTGGGACCAAATGGTGCAGGGAAAACGGTAAGGCTTTCTGTAGGTTTGATTTGAAATGTAAATAGGTCTGTAAGGCCTCAAAATATGAATGACAGATCTCTACGGTGAACTATTAATATTGCAGAAAACTTGCTGGTCCCTGTAAATATTGTGGTGTTGAGCTTTATTATAGATCTGCTTTCATGCCTAGATTTTGCAGAGCACTGGTTGATATTTTTCACAGGAGATTGATCCAGGTCCTGACTCAAAGTAATTTAGGAAAGTACCATTTTCTCATGTCACTCAAAAATTAAAATATTATTTCTTATTTCTCCCTCCTCACATATTTAACTCATCTGTAAATGTTTGGGCTAGTATTGTTTTTTTTTTTCCTGTAGTCCATCTTGTTTAGTCTAAATTGCTATTGTAGCTTATATATTAATTTCTGTTTTCTTAGACTATTATTGAATGCCTTAAATACATATCCACTGGAGATTTCCCTCCTGGCACCAAAGGAAACTCATTTGTTCACGATCCAAAGGTAAAAATCATAGTGACCAGATGTGATGTGTGTTTATTCCTAAGTAAAATACTTCAATCAGGGCTGTGATGAAAACAGGGATGCTCAAATTCTGGGCAGACAGGAGCTAGCTTTGTTATTTCAGGAAGAACAGAGAGATGGGGGAGATGAGAACATGACCCCCAACTGGGAAGGCACATATTCATTTGGATGCTGAGAAGAATTTCCCTTATTCATCTCTTTTTTTTGGTTGTTGTGTCTGCTAAAGATTGCCAATGAAACAGATGTCAGAGCTCAGATCCGGTTGCAGTTTCGAGATGTAAATGGAGAGCTCGTGGCTGTCCAGCGATCCATGGTCTGTACCCAGAAAGGCAAGAAAACAGAATTTAAAACACTTGAATCTGTCATTACTAGAACAAGGTAAGTTGTGGAGTTTTTTTTTCTTACTTTGGCATGAAGATCAATTTGGGGTTTGTGTATTTTTAGGTGTAAGGCAAGAGAAAACGTCATCATCTATTCCCTGAAGTAGCTACCAGTGCTCTCAGATGAAAGCAATAGTTCCATAACTTTATTGATTAGTTGGTTTAAGAATCCTGCATTTCATAGCCACTACTTTTAAGAATTACTTATTAACTTGCATTTATTTGAAAATTGAATGAGTAACAGTATCATTTGAAAGTAGGATTATGTGGAGCATGTAGGCTTTGCTTCCGTTAGCACCATCTTCAGTTTCAGGTCATTGCTGGCCTGTGGTTAACGCCAATCTCCACTGTTGAAGGAGTGTTTTACCTTCACTCAGGGTTGGTTTTGCTCCCTCTGCTGGTTTTGCATCATTTTCAAATGTCTAATTGTCTTGGCTACAATAATTGACAGTGTTAAATGTGTTGAACGCAGTCATTATATCCTTAAGAATTGTTCCTTGTCACAGTTTTGAATGGATGTGTTGCAATGAGGTTATACACCTAAAATTGCAGTTTACTTAAAAGAATTTGCTGGTAACTTTGGGGGTTTCCTTTCCCTGTCTCCACAGGCATGGTGAGAAGGTCAGCCTGAGTTCCAAGTGTGCAGAAATCGATCGTGAGATGATCAGTGCCCTTGGTGTGTCCAAGTCTGTGATCAACAACGTCATTTTCTGCCACCAAGAAGAATCCAACTGGCCCTTAAGTGAAGGGAAGGCCCTGAAACAAAAATTTGATGAGATCTTTTCAGCAACAAGGTTTTTCTCTTTACTGTAATTAAGCACAAACTAAGAAATGCCTAACAATGTAGGTTTTAATTAAAATATCTGAGGCGTTGTTTCTTACATCCATATTGCTCTGTCACCAGTGGGATCTGAAGTTTTGTCTCCTTTAAAGGTACATTAAAGCACTGGAAACTCTCCGTCAGGTACGAATGAAGCAAAGCTTGAAAGTAAAAGAGTGTCAGACAGAACTGAAATACCTAAAACAGAACAAAGAAAAAGCCCAGGCAATCCAGAATGATCTGAGCAACAGGGAGGCTCAACTGGCTGCTTCTAAGGAGAATGTAAAATCTATTGAGAGTCAGCTTGAACCTCTAAAGGTAATTGGCATGATGGGCTTTTTTAAGGTTTTAATACAAAACCATCCTGAAGTGCTAAAGAGCACAGGAAAGTGAAAGCTGGATGAATTTCTTGATAAAATCTTACCCTTTTATGTTGTGCTACCTCATCTTTTGCTTGTAAGCAGAATCAAACACACCTTAGCAAACCTGGCAGATGGTAATCCAATCTGTGAACAGTCGTTGGGGGTTTAAGAACATAGTTTGTGAAATTCTTGTAGTGGCATTGAGTTTTTTGTGGATTAATTTAAAGTCTCTCAGTCTCAAATTTGGATGGTAACTGAAAGGGTTGTAAACTCACTACAACAAAAAATGAACTAAAGCCTGAACCTCTCTATTTTTTAAAAAATACTTTATAAAGCTGAATGTTTGACACTTAGACTAAGTATATTGTACCAAACAGTTGATTGTGGGATTCATAAGCTGGTGAGATTTTACTCTTACAACAGTTTTTCCTTTGCAGAGTTCCCTGACAGCTGTTGAACAGAATCTCATGAAAGTAATGAAGCTAGACAATGAGGTGAAAGCCCTGGAGAGCAGGAGGAAGCAGATGGAGAAGGATAATCAAGATTTGCAACAGAAGATGGAGAAGGTTGTTTTAAATTCTCTGCTGCCACCCTTTCTGCTGAGGAATCAGTCTCTGTTTTCCTACCCACTGAACTAAGTATATGTTTTATTATTATCCCATGTTGGTGAGGAGCATTTTCATAGCCTGTGCAGCTCACTTGTGCTATCAGATACTGCAAATACAGCTCAGTAAAGCTGTACTAGTTTCTGTGTAATTTGGGTTAAATTGTTCATAAACTTTTCCCTCCACCACAGAGTAGCTCACCAGGAAGGCAAACACTAACAAAAGTTGTCATAAAAGTGATAATTGCTCATAACAGTGCCCTGTGTAATGAGTTTATCTTCCTCTGGCTGTATGCTGGTGATAACCAACACTTGTTTTGACCAGTGTGGGACAGCTCCTGATGGGACTGTTGCTCCCTGGAGACACTTCATTTCTTTCTCTTAAGAAATAATTGCCAGTCTTCTATTGTGACTATGACAAGGCATTTAAAACTATTTTGAAAAAAAGAGTTCCTTAGTGGTTAAAATTTAGATGAATTTGTTTTGTCAGCCTAAGGAAAAGAAGTTTTCTTTTTTACAGTTTTGCTTGTAGCATGTTTAGTTTTTCTTAATATAGAAGTTCTCTGTGGGATGTGTTTATGTCTTAACACATAATTAACTCTTGAATTCTGTTGAGGTAAAAATATTAAAACATTGTTAATTGGGTTGTAAATGTGGTTAAAAAGATAACTCTCTTCTGTATTGTGTTGGCTGCACAGGTTTTTCAGGGAACAGATGAACAGCTGAGGGATAGATACCAGAACCACCAGAGAACAGTGAAGGAGAAGGAGAAGAGACTCACAGACTGCAAGCGTGAGTTAGACAGAGCCACTAAAGAATGCCAGAGATTTAACAGTGAGAAGTCAGAGCTGCTTATTGAACGAGGTATTTCAGACTTCATCTATAACCTTGTTAGTGTTTTTTAATGTAATTAAGATCTGATATGGAACCACTGATAAGATTTGAAGGGATTTGAACTGGGCAAAACCCCTAAAACGTGGCTGTGTTTGGGGTCAGCTGCACAGTGTGGTATGAGACTGTCAGAGGCATGAATGGTCTGTGGGGGTTTCTGATGTGCACTTGTTGCTCTAAGCTGTAATTACATCATGTACTTTTGTTCTTAAATGGACCATTCTTCATAAAAATATTCCAAATCAATGATTATGGTGGCATGAACATCAGTGTCAGCCTTGGCAGTTTACAGCATGTTTGTTTTCACTGCCTGAGCTTGTACTTGATTTTGGTGATGAAATTCCTGCTAACTAGATGTGTAAGTGTGTTTTAACCAAGAAAAACATGACAGCTGAACACCTGGCATGCCCAGTGGCTACCAGTTGTTGCCAGGTGCCAGCTGGGGACTAGTCAGATGCCTTTAGGATAATATGAATTCCTACATCAACTATTTTCTCTTCAGTGGACTCTGGGAGTTCCAGTAAAGCTGTAATATTAAGACACACAATATATGCTTGCATAAAATAAATTTGGTCTTTGTTTATATTTATGTGAATAATATTTATAGTGTTTTAAGGATCTTTCTTTTAAATTCTTGTTTCAATTCATTAATAAGACCTTAGTTCACCTGAAATAGAATTCTCTCAAGCGACACCTTGTGTTTACTCTGGAGCTTTTTCTTTTGTTCGAGAGTAATTCTATTCCAAAGGCTTTCAGAAAGTTGCAACTGACCTGGCATCCTAAACATAACTTCTGCCTCAGGTTTTGAGCCTGTTTTCTTTCTGTGAAGGTCGTCTCCAGCTGCAGGCAGACCGTCACCAGGAGCACATCACCACCAGGGACTCCTTGGTCCAGGCGCTGGCAGCCCAGCTGGAATTCGAGGGCTTCGAGCGAGCGCCTTTCAGCGAGAGGCACCTGGCCAGTTTTCACTCCCTGCTGAAGAAGAGGCAGGACAGGGATGCAGAAGCTGCAGATCACATGATGGTAAGAGTTTTGTGGGTTTAGTGGTGTAGGTAGGATTGGTTATTGGTGCGTTGTAGGTCCATGTTGTCCTCATGGTGCTGGGAAGAAGAAGAATGGTGGGAGCGAGGGAAATTGAAGCCTTTTTTTGTCTTCTAGAATTCTTTGAGTTGCCTAAATCATTCCATGGAAACCAGTTTTGGAACTAAAAGCAGTCATCAAGTGGTGACCACTCATACAGGTGGTTCACTGACAAGCTAAAAAGCCCGAGGCAGAGTTATGCTGGGCAACTGGTTGGAAAACAAGCAACTTTTTGTTGAAGTTGTCTTCAAAATGGAGTTGCTCTCCTAGAACTCTGCCTGTGTGATGCATCTGCATTTTCCTGTCAAAACATTTCAAGCAGAACATTGTTGACAAGTTCTCATTGTCTGAGTGTTTCAGTGTCTTGTGTTACAGTGGTGAATATTTACAAGGTAGTTTGAAGAAGTGTTTTAAAAAGTTGTTTTCCTATGAAAAAAAATTATATATTGTTGCTGATTTCATTCAGAGAGAATTTGCACGAAAAGAAGCAATGAAACAAAAACAGATAGAGGAAATCAGAGACAAGAAAACTGGATTAGAAAGAACCATTGACCTGAAATCAGACATTCAAAATAAGAAGCAAATTGAGCTGAAGAACGTAAAACACGAGCTGCAGCAGCTGGAGGGGTTTTCAGACAGGATTCTGGAGCTGGATCAGGAGATCACCAAGACAGTAAGTTTATGGAATTGAAAAATTCATACAACTTTCAAGTAAAAACTTTTGGCTTTATTATTAAGCAACCAAACAAACCAACACCTGCTTGGGGAGTTTGAAGTAGGGGTTTAGCCCCACAGTTGGTGATGACATAAGATCTGTAAGTCTTAAATTATTGGGCCAGAAAAATACATCCTAAAGTGCTACACTACCTATGTTTTTCCAGAAAACTTGTCTGTAAGATGGGCTGGTTGGTTGTAAGTGTTTTATCCAGTGAAATATAAAGTCCCAAGCATTTTGTCTCCCAGGTGAACAGCTGGTTATACTTCTGTAGCCAGATATTTAGTGTTTGTGAGTGGTGTGTGAATTCAGTGCTTGGTGGTGGTTCTTCTGGCCTTCTCACAAGGATAATTCCAAAGAACACAGAGAATCAAACTAAAGGGTAGTGGTAGTGTTGAGTGATGGTGGGACTTGATCTTAGAGGTCTTTTCCAGCCTTAATCATTCAGTGATTCTACATAAATGTGGTGGGTTGACCCTGGTGAACATCATGTGTTCTTATTTTTTTGTTTAGGAACATGAACTGGAGAAAGCTGAGAAGAACAGCAATATAGAAACACTGGAAGGGGCAGTAAGGACTCTGCAAAATGAGAAAATAAACCTGGACAAAGCTCTTAGGAAGCTGGATCAGGAGATGGAACAGCTGAACCTACACACCACAACCATTACCCAAATGGAGATGCTAAAGAAAGACAAAGTAATTTTTCTAGCATCATCTCATAAGAGAGGGACATGAAATTAATACAGTGTAATTTGGGTATTTTTCAGCTGTTTATTGATAATCAGATGTAAGACTTCTGTGTGACTTCACAGAAGCCACTGACTCCAAGTGACATAAACTGGAAGCTAGGAAAAAATTAATTTGAAATGCTTTATTTCCCCAGGCAGACAAAGAAGAGCAGATTAGAAAAGTAAAATCAAGACATTCTGATGAGCTGACTTCACTTTTGGGATACTTCCCAAATAAAAGCCAACTTGAAGACTGGCTTCATGCTAAAAATAGAAAGATTAATCAGACAAGGGATAATCTTGCTGGCCTTAAGTAGGTATTTGTTTAATGGATTAAGTCTCCATAAATATTTCTGTAATTGTACATTTAATGTTGGAAATTCTGCTATGCTTAACATGCTTGTTAGTTTAATTGTTGTTGATTTAGTTATCTGCAAAATCAAAGTATCCTGCAGAATTTGTGCAGTGTAGAGTTTATTCAGTTTGTGCTAGTTAATAAAATCACAACATGAATATTTTTCATCAGTAAGCATCTAGAAAACATGGAAATAAAAAAGAAATGCTGTATGCTGTACTTAGATTAATAACAAGTTGAGGCTATATGGTTACTGTTAGAAAGATCTGGTGAGCAGCTCTGTGATACCCATTTCAGGTCAACTTCCCATGGTTTTGGTTTTGTTCAAACAGTTTGAAATCTGAGGGTTTTTTTTGTAATAAGTTTGTGCATTGATGTTTCAGCAAACGACTGGCATCAGTAGAATATGATAAAAGTTATGCCAGCAGTGAGCTAAGAAAAAAAGAGGCACAGTTGTCCCATCATGAAGCACAACTTTTTGATGTTTGTGGAAGCCAAGATTTTGACAGTGATCTGAACAAACTTCAAGATGAAATTGAAAAAAGTTCAAAACAACGAGGTAAGTTCCTATCTAAAGCTCTACTATTTTTTTTTCCCCATAAAACTTGTTTTAAGTAAGTCACAGATCCTGAGCCTTGGTTGTGCAGGACAAACTAGGCACAGAAACCAGCTTGAGAGAGATGATTACTAAATCCTTATTATTTAACAAATTTTCCTTATCTTTACTATTATTTCTGTTTGGCACAGGATCAGTGGTTTTAATTCTCTCAGTTAATTCTCTTATTATGAGTTGATGAACTATGTGCTTTGGATTACTCTGTGTGTAGGTAGTGACCTCAAAGCTAAGGAGATGTTTGAGTGCATGGATCTGCTGGTATGGGCTGGGCCCATGGGGTGCACAACTGACTGAAGGAAAGGAATTCCTGAAGGAATTACTCACTCCCACTCTGGAATTACAGAGCAGTGAGTGTGGTTTAATAAAACAGACTTGTGGAATACTTCAGTTTGATGGACTTGAGGAGGTAGTTCTGGGCAGCCTGCTGAAAGCAGGGGCAGCATTGAATTCAGACCAGGTCACTTTGAGCCATTTCATCTGGAGTGCAGTCAGAAGAGTGTGGCCAGCAGGTCGAGGGAGGTTCTCCTCCCCCTCTGCTCTGCTCTGGTGAGGCCACATCTGGAGTCCTGTGTCCAGTTCTGGGCTGCCCAGTTCAAGAGGGACAAGGAACTACTGGGGAGAGTCCAGGGGAGGCTGTGAAGATGCTGAGGGGCTGGAGCATCTCTGAGCTGAGGAAAGGCTGAGAGCCCTGAGGCTACTTAGCTGGAGGAGAGAAGACTCAGAGGGGATCTGATCAGTGCTGAGCAAGAGCTAAAGGGTGCCCAGGGGGCAAGAGGCTGGGGCCAGACTCTGGTCAGTGGTGCC